CTCTCGTGGAGCTTTGTCTTCTTAAAATGTCTCTTACGGAGCTTAGTTTGTCTTTCTTAAAGTGTCTCTTATGTAGCTTTGACTTGTTATAGTTTGTCGCCTGTGGAGTTCAGTTTTTTTATGTCTTAGTGTCTCTTACTTTGTCTTCTGTCTTATGGTGTCTCTTGTGTAACTTTGTCTTCTATGATAGTAATGTCTTTTGTGGAGCTTTGTCTTTTGCATTACAGTATGGTGTAGAGTTTAGTCGTTCTGTCTTAGTGTCTATTACTTTGTCTTCAGTCATATAGTGTCTCTTGTGTAACTTTGTCTTCAGTCATATAGTGTCTCTTGTGTAACTTTGTCTTCAGTCATATAGTGTCTCTTGTGTAACTTTGTCTTCAGTCATATAGTGTCTCTTGTGTAACTTTGTCTTCAGTCATATAGTGTCTCTTGTGTAACTTTGTCTTCAGTCATATAGTGTCTCTTGTGTAACTTTGTCTTCAGTCATATAGTGTCTCTTGTGTAACTTTGTCTTCAGTCATATAGTGTCTCTTGTGTAACTTTGTCTTCAGTCATATAGTCTCCTGTGGAGCTTTGTCATGTCTTAGTGTTTCTTGTGGAGTTAAGTTCTTTTGTCTCAACATCTCCTGTAGAGCTTACTGTCTTCTGTCTTACGGAGTCTCTTGTGAAGCTTTGTCTTATAGCATCTCTTGTGGAGCTTAGTTTGTCTAATATTGTCTCTTGTGGAGCTTACTTTGTCTTCTGTCTAATAGTTTCTCTTAGTTCTTCGTCAGTCTTATAGGTCTCTTGCGGAGCTTAGTTTGTCTTCTATCTCGTTGTGTTTCTTGTGTAGCATAGTTTGTCTTCTTTGTTAGTGTTTTGTGGAACTTTGTCTTCGGTTTTATAGTGCTTCTTGTGTAGCATAGTTTGTCTTCTTTGTTAGTGTTTTGTGGAACTTTGTCTTCGGTTTTATAGTGCTTCTTGTGTAGCATAGTTTGTCTTCTTTGTTAGTGTTTTGTGGAACTTTGTCTTCGGTTTTATAGTGCTTCTTGTGTAGCGTAGTTTTGTCTTCTTTGTTAGTGTTTTTTGGAACTTTGTCTTCGGTTTTATAGTGCTTCTTGTGTAGCAAGTTTGTCTTCTTCGGTTTTTGTGGGAACTAGTGCTTCTTGTGTAGCGTAGTTTTGTCTTCTTTGTTAGTGTTTTTTGGAACTTTGTCTTCGGTTTTATAGTGCTTCTTGTGTAGCATAGTTTGTCTTCTTTGTTAGTGTTTTGTGGAACTTTGTCTTCTGTCTTACAGTGTTTCTTGTTCAGCTTTGTTTAACTCGGTCTTGTATTTTCTAAATCTTAACTTTTCCTCTTTTCTTATTGTGTTTCTTGTGGAGCTTAGTTTGTCTTGTCTTATAGTTTCTCTTATAGAGCTTCGTTTGTCTTTTGTCTTATAGTGTCTCTTTGTCTTCCATCTCACAGTGTCTCTTGTGGAGCTTAGTTTGTCTTGTCTTATAGTGTCTCTGTCTTCTGTCTCATAGAATCTCTTGAGAAGCTTAGTTTGTCTTGTCTTATAGTGTCTCTTTGTCTTCTGTCTTATAGAATCTCTTATGGAGCTTAGTTTGTCTTCTGTCTTGTAGTGTCTCTTGTGGAGCTTTGTCTTCTGTCTTATAGTGTCTCTTGTGGAGCTTAGTTCTTTTTCTGTCTTATAGTGTCTCTTGGTTTGTCTTCCATCCTATAGTGTCTCTTGTGGAGCTTAGTTTGTCTTCTGTCATAGTGTCTGACTCTGTCTTATAGTGTCTCTTATAGAGCTTAGTTTCTCTTCTGCCTTATATTGTCTCTAATAGAGCTTAGTTTGTCTTATAGTGTCTCTTATAGAGCTTTGTCTTCTGTCTTATATTGTCTCTTATAAATTAATCAAGTAACATAAAGTATTGTGATCGACACTCATAGAAAGAAGTAGAAAGATAGAAGAACACACTAGACTACATAAAAATCGAAAGCTATAGTTACCGTGTCGGGAATTGAACCTGTCACCTCCAGACGGTGTCTGCGCCTCGCCATAAATACAAGTGCACTAAGATACATGGTCAACTAGGCACACCCCCCCCCCCCCCCCCCCCAAGTGTCTTATTGGCCATGTCTATCGTACAGCTTAAATTCAACAACTATGGAATACGGACAGAATTCATTTCAACCCATTGAAATGGCACCATAGGTTACAGAAATTTATATTAACGAAGCAAATGTCGAATAACAATCACAGCAACAATTTACGAACACAGTAAGACCTTATTGCTTTGTCTAGAATACACAAACATTTAAGAAAGGTATTTGATTGGTAGGTTCCGGTGTGTATACGTCATTCCTATAAATAAACAGAGGAGGGAACCTTTCAAGGCCCTTAAATATTATGAATTAAATCAAGTAACAGAAAGTATTGTGATCGGCACTCATAGAAAGAAGTAGAAAGCTAGAAGAACACACTAGACAACATAAAAATCAAAAGCCTCCTATTGTCTCTTATAGAGCTTAGTTTGTCTTCTGTCTTATAGTCTCTTTGTTTTCCATACCATAGTGTTTCTTGTGGAGTTTAGTTCTTCTGTCTTTTAATGTTTCTTGTGGAGCTTAGTTTGTCTTCCATCCTATAGTGTTTCTTGTGGAGCTTAGTTTAACTCAGTCTTGTATCTTCTACAGCTTAGTTAACTCTTCCTCTTTTCTTATAGTGTCTCTTGTGGAGGTTGCCTAAAAGGTTGCCTGCTAAATGCTGAGAACATAGTCTAAAGCCATGTGGATGTGGAAAGCAAGGGGAAACTATCACACTATCCCACGTAACTTATCTTGGAAGTTAAATCTAGCCAAGATGTAACAGGACTGCATCTTTCCTGTAGCAACATAGAAATATTATGCGACTGGGCCATATAGGATCAAACCTGATGCAATGAAGATCCTTTATGAGAGAGCTGTAGAATTAATTTTTAGGGAAGTTTTACACAAATGGTACGGGAAAGGATGAACTGGTCAACTCGGTGTTGACTTTTCGCTAAAGTGGAGCTATTTGGGGGAGGAATGGATACCCTTTCACAGAATTTTTTTTTTAACATGTAACACACATATCCCACAGAGACGCATTTCCAATAGACGTAGATCACATAGACACACTGCCCACAGAGACAATCACACTGCCCATAACGATACAGACCACATAAACACACTGCTAATAGACACAAATCAAAAAGAAAATCCCCAGAGAAACAAACATCACATACACACTCTCTACAGAAACATTGCCCATATAGAGCAAACAGAAATATTGCTCACATAGACACAACAGACACTGTGCATAGAAAAAAAAAACTGCCTACAGAGTGACAGATGGCACAGACACTTTGCCCAGAGACACAAATCACACACAGGGACATAGACCACATAGAAACATTGCCCATAGAGACACAGATCACACAGAAATATTGCCTATAGAGAAATAGACCACACAGAAACATTGTCCATAGAGACAGATCCCATAGAAACATTGTCCAGACACATTACCACTTAAAAACATTTTTCATAGAGACCAGACTAGACAGAAACAATGCCCATAGAGACAGGGACCACACAGAAACAATGCCAACAGACCACATAGATTTCCCACAGACCATATAGAAACATTACCCACAGACCACATAGAAACACTACCCACAGACAATACAGAAACATTGACCACAGACCACATAGAAACATTGCCCACAGACCACATAGAAACACTGCCCACGGACCACACAGAAACATTGTCCATAGAGACACATACCACACAGAAACATTGTCCATAGAAACACATACCACATAGAAACATTTCCATAGACCACAAAGGAACATGGCCACAGAGACACACATCATATAGACAGATTGCCCATAGAAACACAGATCACACTGCCCACTGAGATATGAAGTAGACACCACATAACACAGACACATTGCCCATAGAGAGACAGATGACAAGGATCACACACCACATAACACACACAAATTAGACAAAATTCACACTGCCCAAACAGACCACAGAGACATGCGTTCCAGACAGATCATCTGCTTGGAAGGAAGATATGTGAATCACAAATTTTATTCATCAAAAATGGCAGGGGGAAAAATTCTTCGACTGTATTTACACAAACGAGCCCAGTCTGTTTTTCCGTTCCCTCTAAGCATTATGCATATAAATTTACAATTTATTTAAACAAAAAACAAACAAAAAAACTTTGTCTTTCATAACTGACAAGGTGAACCCCAAGGTATTTTTTGTAAACGCTGGGAGAAGGGGGGGGGCATTACAAATTATTAAACACGGCCAGGCCCTTCCCTTTCAACCCATATTTATTCAAAGGGTAGCCCCAGTGGTACTCCTTATTTTTGAATTTGAATTCAAAAACTGGGAAGTGTTCAAGGGAACATGTAATCTACCACCTACCATCGTTTGGGTCTCCTCCCTGGGTGAACACCCCCCCCCCCCTCCCCCCCCCCCCCCTCCCCCGAGCAGATGTCATGGGGAGGGGGTACAAATTCCCGTATGGTCCTCCTTAACTGTCAGAAGTACTAGGCTCAGATGAACAAAGGAGTGAGACTTGTATCTCAAACATTGTCCAGCGCATTCTACCAGTAACAGCATGTGTTTCCAAACTATTTGACATAGTTCAAAGGTTTTAAAAGAAGAAAAAAAAGTTGGGGTTAAAAAAAAAATTCTGTCAAAAAGTATTCAAATGTTTCTTTGAGACATGAAACTGCACATGTCAAAGTAACCCCCACACACTGTAGGGTTAAAGTCTTGTGTGACATTTGACAGACCTGAGACAACTTTGACATTTGGCACCAACACTTGCCCCCCACATGTAAGTGTGACTCGGCCTTTGGTTCTCAAAGTGTGTGTGTTTTCTGTCGCCTACACACAAAGTTGGTCCACAAAAGTGGCTTGATTGTCCCCACCACATGTCTGTGACTTTGACACAACAGGTCTTGGATTCAGTTTATAGCTTGCTGTATCATCAGGACACCTGAGAGCACTCAAAGAGAACTTCAGACAAAGTGTTGGACACAGTCTGGTCCAAGATCTGTGACATAACCAGGTTGAGAAGCCGGTTCTGTTGCTGTACAAACAACTTATGATTGTCTGGAACCCGTGCCATGTGCAGCAGGATTGAGGCTGCCCGTCTCAGCATGTCTAGAGACGTGCCCATGACTTCTGGATTCACTTGCAGGACTTCGATCCCTTGCTGATTGGCTATAGTGAGTGCATTTTGTTCTGCGGTTTCTAGAAAGTCCACAAGCAGAGATACTGAAGCATGCTGCAAGGCCACAGCACGGGCTGCGCTAGATTCCCCGGCAACTAGTAAAGACAGCAGAACAATGGAGAATTCCCTGGTGATCTGGTGGTTTCGGTCCGCTAACAAGCGGACTAACACCCCGAAGAGTTCAAGAATTCTTTTGACAGGTGGTGTGGCTAATAAGAGGTCAACGTTGGTTTCGTGTATACACAGTTTGCACAGGGCTTCTAGAACGAGCCGTTGTGGTGACAGAACAGACCCGGCCGGAAGTGTTGGTAGTGGATCCTTGGCCACCGAAGCTGGGCAGATGACCCAGTGAAGGAGTCCTTCCAACAGCGGGAAGCAGATCTGCTCGGGAAAATCTGCCAGTTTCAGGTGGCCACATATGTTTGCCATGATGACTAATGCATTCTCTCGAAGCTGATCCAGGTAATCCCACCACCAGTGCTCATCGTCATACACCCTCGGCAGTTGCTCCCTGTCTTCCTCCTCCTCAACTTCAGAGGGCAGCTTCCTCGCTGGAGGTTTAACTGGGTGGATGTGGTGAAGCAACATCAGCCGGCCCAAAATCCTCATGGTTCCGGCGTGTTTACAGATGCGTTCCTCATTTCCCGGGATACAGGATAAAGAGCGTATGATATTCGATATGCACACACATCGACGGCCAAGCTCATCTTTGCTTTCTGGTGTGACGCACAGAGGAGGGTCATCCCTCTGAAAGGCTTCCTCCTCCAGGTGTTCGTCTTCCTTCAACATCTCTGCCACAATGCTAGCCGACAATTCCTCCGACTCTGAAGTGAAACTCTCATTTAACACTTGCGAAACATCCACACTGTTATTCCCACAGCTGTCATTCAAGACGCCATCTTTCTCCTTCCCCATACTCTCTTCCATCTCAATTACCTCTACTTTCATCTGATTCAAGAGACCATTTCTCTCTTTCCAGATACTGTCTTCAATCTTAATTACTTCCACCTGAATCTGCTTAGGCTCTTCACTACAAAAGCTATCCTTGAGGGTACTCACATGTACCTTCATGCTGATTCCAACATTGCTGTCCCCATTTACTGTGCTATTCACTGTCTCGCTGGTCGCCTCATCCGTCACGTCACCACCATCAACAGATTCTGCCCGGAGCACAGGTGGGGAACTGTTGCTGCAGTTGTCATCTGAATCACCTCCTTTACTGATATTCAATTCACAAGAATTGTTCATCTTGATTACATCAGATGCAGCTTTGGCAGACTCACAGCTCAAAACCGGTGAAAGTTTTGGTTCTTCAACATCTCCATTTTCTAAGAGTTTAGAATTAGCAGCAACAGGGGCATCCGTATCTGTGAACTCACCTTTTGTATTACCAATGAGACTCTGAAGCACCTCAACTCCCTGCCCCTTCTGTGCCTCCATCTTTTGGACCCTTTTCTTCTTTTCCTTCACTGAATCTTTAGAACAAGACTTTGATCTTTCATCAGCTTCAGCACACACCTCTTCAGCAGCTGACTTACTGATATGCAGTACCTCAGGCTGTGCTGAATCAATACAAGCAGATTTCTCTTCCCCACACACACCTACACAACTATCCATGGAATTATTTTCCCCCGAGCTGGAACCTTCTCTAAGTGACCCCTTAGGCTGCAACTCACTTTTCCTCTCACTACTCCCCTCCACACATCCAGTATTTGAAACAAAAGATATGTCACACGTCGCACACTGTGCAACTTCCATATCTTCTTTAAATTGTGCTGAACAGTGCTTACTCTCACCACAAGAAGCTAACACACTGCCACTTGGACAATTCTTCTTTCCCTTCTCACAATTAGGACTACAACTGTTATTACTATCATCATCTTTTCTAGTCCTTTTCCTCCGGAATCTCCCTGCCAGAAATGTATTGGTGCTTGAACTCTCAAGATGAGTCAGTATATGTTTAGTTATGTCCCCACAGCCTGTCGCCCAACTGTGAGACTTCAAATGGAAATTACAGAACACATCCCAATCCTTCGAATCCAACACTGAACTGTCCACAGGGTTGGCATCAATTTTCACTGGCAACCCCTTTCTGGACACCATTGTATAATTGGAGCCGGATAAAAAGAAACTGGTTGGCTTTCTCTCATCAATGACCTCATCATTTAACTCTTCTTTCTGGAATCTGGGTGTCATCGTTAACGAGAGAGGATTGAGGTTGTCATCATGTGATATGTTTTTACGGGCAAGACCTTCCTCCAGATCTTCAAACTCTGAGAACATCTGCATGAGGCAGTGACGGAGGTGATCGGTCAGGACCTCCAAAAGGCCAGGTAGTTTGTTGAGACCGAAGTAGCCCACTGTTGTGTCGTCATACAACAGGATGTTCAGTGTGTCCAGAGCCCAAGTGCTCTCAGCCAGGAGTCCACTCTTTAGTGCCATCATCAGTCGCCATGATTCAAAGGGTGCTGTGGGGCAAACACAACAAGAATAGTTAACACATCATCATGCGTACTGCTTGCTATCATCATGCACAAAACTAGCAATCGTAAGGATCTGATCTCTTATTCCACCATGTGGGTTCAGAGGCCAAATTTTAGAGTGGGGAAAAGTAGATCACCCCCACACAAAACAAAGCATGTCGTAAAAAGTGACTAAGTAAAGGAGTCTCCTTTTAAGTCCAGTGCATCTGCTTGAGAGGCGAAGAACCAACATCTGCATACAATTTAGCCAAATTTATGAAATAGATGTTCATATAAAATTCAAGTTCTGGGACAGGACCCCAAAGTCTAGAGGTGGATGACCAACCTACAGCCAGTGAAAGCTAAGAAGATTGCCCTGCCCCCACTGGTGTAGACCCGCAACCCTCTGGTGTTGAGCCATCACTTGTTAAATCATCTGCAGCTCTCCATCTGTGTATCCTACCCTCTGAGCATTTACTGCAGTGTCTTTTGTACCAAATCATTATTATTTTAATTTTGTTGAATTAAATATTTGCTGTTTTAAACACTTTCGGCTACTAACACAGAAACAAACACATCTGCCTGGGCCCTATTCCCTGTAAATGTCAACTGTTCCTATTTATCTGTGGCGACCTGCTGACAAGATGCATAGTTAATGCTATAACAGGGTCATAGCCTTTTTTTTTAAATGGGTTAAACTCAAATGTCTCACGATAAAACTTGTTTGCACACAAAATGATACTAAAATAGCTAACTGTCTTTTTCTGTCTGCAAAATCACTAATTTGTTTCTGGTTAAGATTTTAATAATTTAGAATTTTTATTCAGTTTTAATGACTTCTCATTTAATCAATTTTGTTTGTTTGCAATTCTATATTTTCCTTTTTATCATGTTTCTTGTCTGCTGAAGTTGGTATCATGATATACCCTTTTCCCCCGCTGATCAAAGGCACAAAATATGACTGTCTCAGGGTATGATATGAAAATAACAATATTTTACTTCGCTACGTTTCACAAGAAATCTGATATATTGACCGCACTAGTTGGAGGTTGACCCCTTTAACATGGGTACTAGCAGATGTCATGGGAAGTAAAAGTGGTCAGAATGATATTGATTGACCACATCATCCATCTGGAGCTATCATCCATCGAGGGCTGACTGGTTTATATAAATATGGATTCAGCACCATAAGCCTGATGCGCCAATGATGTGAACAGAGGTCCTTGAAGCGTACTGGGCTAGACATATTTTATAGTCTCGGTGGGCAAGTCTTTTACTAATTACATATAATCTCTAGAGGAAATGACAGTGAGGTTTGAGTTAGTTAGTTAGTTGGGTTATCATCATTGCACTCCGGACATGTCCATAGGTGCTCAGATCCTCCCCTCAGTATAAACCCCTAAGTCTGATGGCTAATAGTACCAGTTCTGTTTCAGGTTTGAGGTTTGAACAACGGATCAACATCATGGCACACGAGTAGTGACCCATCAGTGCTCTATTTTTCTTCTAACTCAAGTCTCTAGTCCAAAGAAGCTCAGCACAGGCTCTGTGGAAATGCATGACTAAAATACCGACCACAAAGACCTGCACTTAGGCAGGCTTTCTCAGGGACCCACCACAGAATTATAATGCATGCTTGCTTCACCTAAGCCACAGGCACCAATCTCAGAGAGGTAGGACATCTATATGGATCATATGATCGCTGAAACTGCAACCTTGATCACACTACATAGACAGCTTGTCAGAAGATGACTGCTGTGCAGGAGGAGAAGGGGAGAGAACAAAGTACGGTCAACCAACAGAGAACTGAGGTCAGCTGCAACTCATCAAGAAGCTGACCCCAATAATTATGTGGTGAGGATGATATGTTGACTAGAAATGTTGCCCAAAACCCAGAAATGGATTCTCTCCTTCTCTCACATAAACAATATGGCACTATGAGGCAAGCTGACCAGCTTCTTTGATAGTCACTATTCATCCAGAAGCATACAATATTCTACTGAGGTTCCTATTCTTAGTTATCTTTCCACTTACTGACTGACAACCATAGACACCACACATGGCACTTTCAAATATCAACATATGCCATGCCACGGAGTGTGGGTAATCATGACCCACCATGTCATAAAAAAGTTCACGCTTAGATGTCTCATACACATAAACTGACACACAAATGTACAAACAACATCCAGACATTACCCAGATCCTTGCTGGTGAGTTTCTTCCTCCTGGCTGTGGAGATACCAACACTCTCTATGCTGTCTGCAGGGAAGGTTATCTCTTTCCTTGCAAAGGAGGCCACTGCCATACCTCCATGAGAAGGCTACAAAATGATACAAATACAGACTTTGGTCACGGCACAACAAGTATTTGTTGATTTGCTATCAAACCTGTTATTCTTTCTAGTGTTGCTTGAAACTCTGGTGGAAAGTTCTGACTGTCGGTCTATTCCTGGACTTTGATTCTGATCAAGAACTTAAGTTTTAAAACACATCCATTTTATATCTGGCTTCTTTGTGTGCATACTGTTGGTCCCTTGCCTCAGGCAGATGTACTCCAACTCTGAAGAATGCCCTTGGTGAGTTACCTCCTATGACATGCACGTTAGGGGGGAAGTGGGCCTATTCTGTGTTCTCCAACATAGACATTTAGAAACCACATGGGAAATTATTATGTGACAAGTTTAGAACTGTTTTCTCAGCTAAGAGACAACTTGGAAATTGGAAATACAGCACTATAACTTTCATAGCTCTTGAATGTGACAATTTAGGCACTACAATTCAAGCTTTCACAGCTTCTGTGACAAACGTGTGCACTACAACTTAGGCTGTCACAATTCCTGAATGTGACAGCTGGGCATTATAACTTACAGGTACTGAATGTGACGGAACTTGGGCACTACAATATCAGTCCTTGCATCGACAACTTTGTCATTTCAACTCTTTCACAACTCTTGAATGTGACAAATATGGGTGTGATAGCTTTCCAGCTCAAGATTATGACAAGTCAGGAACCATATTAGGCTTTCGTAGCTCCTGAATGTGATAAAATTATCACTACATAAAACTTAGGAAGGCTGCCACAGCTCCTGAATGTGATAACCTGACCACTACATATAACTTAAGCAGGCTCCCACAGCTCCTAAATGTGATAACTTGGCCACTAAATACAACTTAGGCAGGCTGACACAGCTCCCAAATGTGATAACTTGACCACTATATATAACTTAGGTAGGCTGACACAGCTCCCAAATGTGATAACTTGACCACTATATACAACTTAGGTAGGCTGACACAGCTCCTAAATGTGATAACTTGACCACTATATACAACTTAGGCAGGCTGCCACAGCTCCTGAAATGCGACAAACATAGAAACCATAACTTAAGACTGTCACAAAGTCATATGTTATAAATGCTATGTCAAAAAAAAGAAGAACAAATTCACATATCTGTGAAACACAAACAATGCCCTTACCAGCACTTTCTGCTGTGCCAGGTAACGGCCAGCATCTCTATGAGGTGAGTTTTTGTGAGGCAGCTGTTGACAGTACTGTCCCATAGGTGGGGTAGATGGTGCCGCCGGAGACATGTAGCCTGGTCCATTCTGTGGTCCATGGGATCGCTGCATTGGTGACCACTGCCCCTCTCTTATTCGATCTAGAAAACACATAAAGGTGACAAGACTGACTTATTAGAAAGGTTGTAAAATTAACTACAGGAAGTAAACAGGTAGTTCAAAAATCATTGAGATTGGTTTAAAAAATGTCTTAGGTGGTTTGAAAATTGTCCATTTTAAAGTAGAAATCCACAGTGGCTAAATAACCAATCCTGGGACACATCACAAAGATGTTCAATAACCGATTGGGGAATCTACCCCACAGCTATAACATGATTTAAGATTCCCAAATAATGGCATCCTCCCAACACCTGAAGAATGTAAGCACTCATAAGGCAGGGGTATACTCACTGAGGCATCATTTTTATATAGACACACCTATCAGCATGTTTCAGTATTTGTCTAGTGCCATCTCCGTAATGGAGGTTGCCTTCGGTGGATTCACCGTTTTTGAGCCAATATTACATAATGAGGCCCTAATCTCTTTCAGTGTGACTATTGTACCACTGTACGTAAGGTCTTTGAACAGGCTAATGCAAAAATCAAAGCCCGTATCTTGAGGATTGTGAAATATTTTAAGTGAAAGACTAATATCTGGGACAGTTAAAAGTCACCTGAATATATACGTCACTTGGGACATCAAAAGTCACCTACCTAAGTCATCGGGATACATAAGTCACCTTGAACAGACAAAACTCAACTCAAAATACAAGACACCTGGGACAGTTAAAAGTTATCTGGGATACATAAGTCACTTGGACAGTTAAAAGTTACTTGGGACACATAAGTCCCCTGGGACAGTTAAAAGTTACTTGGGACACATAAGACCCCTGGGACAGTTGATACCTGGGAAACAGTTTTGAGTTACCCAGAACAGTAATGAGTTAGCTGGAACAGTTTTGAGTTACCCGAAACAGTTATGAGTTACCCGAAACAGTTTTGAGTTACCCGAAACAGTTTTGAGTTACCCGAAACGGTTATGAGTTACCCGAAACGGTTATGAGTTACCCGAAACGGTTATGAGTTACCCGAAACGGTTATGAGTTACCCGAAACGGTTATGAGTTACCCAAAATGGTTATGAGTTACCCGAAACGGTTATGAGTTACCCGAAACGGTTATGAGTTACCCGAAACGGTTATGAGTTACCCGAAACGGTTATGAGTTACCCGAAACGGTTATGAGTTACCCGAAACGGTTATGAGTTACCCGAAACTGTTAGGAGTTACCCGAAACAGTTTTGAGTTACCCGAAACAGTTATGAGTTACCCGAAACAAACAGTTTTGAGTTACCCGAAACAGTTATGAGTTACCCGAAACAAACAGTTATGAGTTACCCGAAACAGTTATGAGTTACCCGAAACAGTTTTAAGTTACCCGAAACAGTTTTGAGTTACCCAAAACGGTTATGAGTTATCCGAAACGGTTATGAGTTACCCGAAACGGTTTTGAGTTACCCGAAACAGTTATGAGTTACCCGAAACAGTTATGAGTTACCCGAAACAGTTATGAGTTACCCGAAACAGTTATGAGTTACCCGAAACAGTTATGAGTTACCCAAAACGGTTATGAGTTACCCGAAACGGTTATGAGTTACCGAAACGGTTATGAGTTACCCGAAACATTTATGAGTTACCCGAAACATTTATGAGTTACCCGAAACAGTTATGAGTTACCCGAAACAGTTATGAGTTACCCAGAACAGTTATGAGTTACCCAGAACAGTTATGAGTTACAAGGAACAGTTATGAGTTACAAGGAACAGTTATGAGTTACCCAGAACAGTTATGAGTTACCCAGAACACAGCAGAAAGTCACACAGGATAGGAAGAGGGAACAAATTTACATGAAACATAAATATTTAAAACAATCAAAACAGATCTTACCTGGTTGATCATCAGAGAACCGTTTAGTAGGTGTTCCGTAGATCCCACCAGATCCATGCGGGGGTCGTGGCCCTACGGCATTCTGGGGATAACCTGGGTACTGAGGCCCTGGATATCCACCCTGGTTCTGGTATGCATTTCCAGGCTGAGGATACTGCCCTGGGACATCACCTCCCTGGGGTCTCATCCCCACCGTCTGAAAGCGGGTGCCTGGGTAAGCTGGGCTGCCATCAACTGGGGGCTGGGGAGCTGGCGTCATACCAGGTGTGGGACCTGATTGCCTTATAAGCATGCTAGGATTTGACTGGTCAAACCTGAAGAGAAAAAGGCAAGATGTTTAAACCTAGAGGTGATTTCTTACCATCAATTACGCTTTGGGGGGGGGGGGGGGGGGACCATCTCAGGTTGGCAGCTGTGAGTGTGTGTGCGCATTGAGTGTTTCAGGGAAAATTATGTGGCCATGCCCCAAACACTTCTGAGGTGTGAGGGCACTGGTATGCACCACCAAGGGAAAAGGTATTTTTCTTAACCACTACACCCACCATAGAAACTGAAATGGTACATTAAAGGATTGTGGAAACACACTAACCTCTAAGTCATGTCTTTTTCTGCCCTGGTATGGTATATAATTAACACATACAGAATAATACTCCAGCACCCATTTTTCACAACTGGATATAACTTAGCCATGCAGAAAATTCAAGCCACTTTAATGCTTCTCCCTTTCCCTTTTTTAAACCCTCTTTTTCATCCCACTTTCTTTGCCACTGTTTTCCTTTCTCTGGGAAAGTGCATGTGGATCTGAACCACATGGGCCAGCATTTACATTACCCTCTAGGACGTTCTGGACCCGGCAATTACATTAACCACTGTGCCAGCTTTTTCATACTATTAACAATCTTAATTTGGTCACATTAAGGCCAGAGAAGGGCTGTAGGAGTGACCATAAGAGATCAAGATCAGAAATGAGATCATAAGAGAACAAGTCGGCACAGAACCAATTCTGGATTACATACAAAGACAGCAAGTGAAATGGTTTGCCCACTTAGAGAGAATGCCTTGTGACACCATACCATACAAAGCATACATGGGAAGAGAAGAAGGACGTAGAGCACGGGGTAGACCAAGAACAAGATGGAAGGATAACATCAGAGAAACTCTACAACAGCACGATGTGCCTATGGTCGAGGCAGCCAGAAGAGCTAGAAACAGAACCTTATATCTCCCTCGACACCCACAGCGGTAAAAGAGGAAGTGAAGAAGAAGAAGAAGAAGGCCAGGGTGACTGCAAACAAGGAGCCAAACCTCAGAGTTTGACAGTTAACTGCTACAGGTTGCCACACCACACAGAACACTACAAAAATATAATTATCATGTCAAGCATTGGCACTCATGTGTTTTTGACCTTACACAATCACAATAATCAGGAACAGAGTCAAATGTTCTTGTCCTCTAAACCATCTAGGTATCTGTCATCCCCTTGTTTCTCCCTAGCCAGTCTGCCAACTTTTACAAAGTTTATTTCTTCTCAAAACACGTCTACAATAATTTTCACTGTCTGTATATAATGTCTCTAATCGTTTTAGAGTTTTTAATTTGTCTCGTTAAGGATATACCTATTTTTTCTGTAAGTCCATCATTTTTTTAAACTGTTCATTCATCCACTGCCTGAAGACATTCTTCAGATTGTCACTTACTGTCCATGTATCACATACAAACTTACTTCTTTGCATCTAACTCAAAGTTCTGGACTTTAGTCTTGCTCCAGAGTTTTGTGTGCACATCTGTTTTACATATTTGGCTTATACAAATGCAAATTGACTAGGAAAGAAAACTTTAGAAGACTCTTGCAACACAGACTGTTAAGGAGACAGTGATTGTTGTTTTTTCTCCCCACACAACATGGCCCCAGAACACACTGGGAAAACATACAAACAGGTTCTCTAACCTGTGATCAATATAAATTTCCTGGTGGCCCAACCAAAATGTCCACCCACTCATGTAGTAGCTATAGGAGTCACAAAGACTACACAGCCGACTGAGCAAATGAGATGCTGCTAGCAACAATACAGCACCAGAAGTATTGGCCATGTCAGAAATAAAAAAACCAAATAGAAACCAAATGACCGTTATTACAGCACTCTGCTCTCAGAAACAATGCTGCTGTCTTGTATACAGCATTAATCTGATCTCTCTGCAGCGGTAGATGCCGCATTCACTAAAAACTGTAATTCTTTGACAACAAATTTATAATGTGTGACATGACAGTTGCACCGTGAAGAAGACTTTGCCTTCAACTCCAAGTTCTGGAACAAGACCATAAAGTCCAGAAGCAGATGAACCAGAACTTTGTGTGAACCAGTGAGGGTGAAGAAAAGGAAGATATCCTGTAGCAGTATATGTTGGTTTCTTTTTATTTATTTAGTGTCTTGCAGAAACTCAACAGTGATTAGCTTCTTACAGATAGCTACAGTGAAACTTTGAATGAGTAGAGAGAGAGAAAAACCATTTCAATAACACAGAATGTTCAAAAGTTTCTGGACATGTGAATATACAAAAGAATAGGCTACATTTCAAAGAAACAAATATAATCAAATACAGTGGTTCTGAAAATACTAGGAATGAGCTGCTGAAGGAAACAAACAAAAGAAGTGGAACATTTCAGTCACATTAAAAGACTTAACACAAGCAGTTTTTACATACCTATCAGATCGCTCGAACTGTTGGCCAAAGCCAAACTGACCACTGCTGGTGGATACTGGTGGGTCTGTTGGTGGACCCGCATTTGGGACAAACCCACCCATCATCTGGTCTGGTCCAGGGAAGCCAGCCGCTGGAGCTCCGGACTGACTGGACGTATTGGTCAGGGCAGTGTTTCCCATGGTGCTTGGCTGCGAACCAGGGTACCCAGGTGCCAAGGGTGTGGAGGTGGGCAACGACTGTGGAGGTGGTGTCGGCTGGAGGGGACCCCCACGCTGCTGCTGGAGATAACCTGAATCTATGGCAAATGGATCCTGAGCTGTGATACTATCTGAGGTAACTGGCATGGGTCCTGCTGCTGACAGTCCACCATGGCTGGAAAAAGGGGGTCCGCTGGCTGACATTGGCTGCTGCATCATAGGACCACCATATCCGGGGGGACCGCCAGGCATCTGTGAACCCACCATGTTTCCTGGCCCAGAGTTTGGAATCATTCCCTGCTGCCGATGCATCATTCCAGCTCCGGACATAGCCATCATACCAGAGGGTCTGGCCCCCTGTGGGCCACCCATCATGCTGCCCATCCCACCATGTGGGCCGGGGCCACCCATCATACCACCAGAACCCATCATGACATGTGGGTCAGGCATGCTGCCATCTTGATTCTGCATGTAAGGTGGGGGCATGTTGGGTGTCTGGTATGAGGGATCCATCTGATTGTTGGGGACACTTGGTGGTCGGAATGAATCATTTGAGTTTGAGCCTGCTGAAGAAAAATTTAAAACAAATGAGAAGCACAGTGGAGGGAAAGGAGAAAAGGACAAAGAGTAAAGGCATATGGAAAGATGGGCTGAAGGACAACAAGAAACTTATTGATTTGACCTTTTCCTGCTAAAGAAAAAATTTTAAAAACAAAAGAAACGACTGAGCGATGGTAAATCACCAATCAAGGGAGGGAAAGAAAAAGGCAAAAATGAAACAGGAAGGGAGAGACAGCCCTGTGGTGATCAGAATGAACCATTTAAATTTAGACATGACAAAGACAAATTGATCAAGGGAATGAGAAGGGGGGGGGGGAGTGACACTGGGAGAGTTGACAAGGGACAAGAGAGAAAAAAAGGAAAAAAACAGGTAGAAACAGTGCTAGGAATGAGGCACGAATAAACCACATAAATTTCAGCCTGATAAAAACAAAACAAAAAAATGATAGGGAAAAAGAAGAAAATGGCAATGCAAAGCAGTGTAAAAGAAAAGAGAAGCAATGGAGAGACACAGCTCAAGAACACCTTCAGTTCTCAGAAAAATTACAATTCATATTCCCTAAATAGTTTCTACTTCTCATTTCTCCACCACCTGTTTCGGCTATATGAGCCAGGCAGTCTACAGTAAAGCTCTTCTACACTACACTGTCGTTTCATTTATGTGTTCTTATCTCAATTGTATACTGTTCTATCGATCACAAGCAAACGTTGAAACAATTTCTAAAGACAGAATGGAATGGAAGACTTGACCTACAAGCCCTATGTGACATGACTTAAAAGGATGATGATGGAAGATATATTTATCAATCCTCTAATATATTCTGTTCTATCAATCATAAACTGTTCTACCTTACAAAAAACTTTTTCTTACAATTTACTACATGCCAAAGTTCTACTCTCAGGAGCTAAGCAGGACGACGTGAGTTGAAGGGTAGGGGTATATAAAAATGTGTGTGTGTGTAAGTACTCATCCTGCACATACCTGGCGAAGGTGCTCGTTTCTTCTGCTCTCGCTTGTGTGCCAGCTGAGCTTCCATCTGAGCAAGTATGGGAGCGGGATCAATCCCCCCGCGGTCAAACTTACATTCGTAGTTAAAAAGATAGCGAATGTAATTCTTCTTGAGGGTGAAGGCGGCACTTGCAGACGTGCCAATGTTGACAGCTGTACAGATATCCCTCCACTTCTTGCTTCTAGTTATCTGAGGGTGCAAAGTTTCAATAATTACACTATTTTTCTAAACTACCATGTTAAAGATTCTGATATACAACCATTTACCAGATTTATATTTTTACAACCAGTTATCACAGATTACACTTTTACAAATAGTTTTCACAGATTACATTTTGAGGTTCTTTCGCAATAAGCCACCCCAGAAGATGTCATGGGAACAGTCCAATATTTTATAGGGTGGTAAGACCAGGTTTTCCAGCTTTGTGGTGCTTTAAACTACCCCAAAACATCTAGAACTGGACCTTACCCAAACCAACCTACGTCCTTAGAGTGCAGCCTAAGTCCCACGACTGCATGCAGCCTATCTACCACCCTCTGAAATATTGGACCTGTCTGTTTGGGGAGAATAAAAATTAAAGCACCCACTTTTACAACCAGATAACGCAGATTACACTTTTACAACCAGTTACCCCAGGTTCAATTTAATAGCCATTTACCACCGATTCACACACATTGCCACAGATTCACATGCAAACCCACTACTAGACACTGACACACTTCGAGTGGCAGTTTAGAAACTACACAACCACACATTTACTGCAACATGTGTCAAATATGGACTTCCTAATAGTTATAATAGCCTGGAGTTCTCTCTAAGCAACACTAATGCTGCATCGTCTGTACTATCAGCGTGGTTGTCCTCTGCGCTGTGATCAAATTTCTTTAACTTGGTCTCTGTGGTTTGATTGATAACAAAGCGTTCACAAGATAGAAAACAATTGAGTGGAGACATCAACTATTAAAGACAAAGCGTACACAAGATAGAAAATAATGGAGTGGAGACATCAACTATTGAAAACAAAGCGTACACAAGATAGAAAACAATTGAGTGGAGACATCAACTATTGAAGACAAAGCGTACACAAGATAGAAAAATAATGAAGTGGAGACATCAACTATTGAAGACAAAGCGTACACAAGATAGAAAACAATGGAGTGGAGACATCAACTGCCAGCTTTGTGTGCCGTGTAATAGCCTAAAATGTTAATGAGTGTATGTATACATCAGCATGTAGTGGTCACCGTACCTCTTCAAAGCCACCCCTCTCTTTCACTGAGAAGTAGAGCTTGTAGAGATCTAAGGGAGTTTTACTGATGACAGGCAGGGCCGTCACTGGCTGCCCGCTCTCCTCCAGAAAGGCAAAAATACGCTCCAAGAAATGCCTTCGGTCCGGCTCTGGTCCCATCTCAAACAGCTTGTTCAGATCCAGGGCATTTTTCTGCAAAGGGAAGAACACAGTGACTGTTTATTTAATGCTAATCTACCCAGTTTTGTCACATCTTACTACAATTACATCATGAAATGCTTAACTCAACCAGCAGAATAACAATCTGAGTATTTAGAGATCTATGAACTATTTGAACTCTATTCTTATAATTTCATGTAATCTTTAAGAAATACATTTGCTATGAGAACAGAATCTTTTTCTTTCTATTCACTTTCATGTTTTATTAAAATTACTATTATTATTAGAGACATAATAAGCCTGTTCGATATTTGTGTAATTTTTCCTTCTTATATCTTCCTTTACAAAACATAACAAATTGTATGTGATGACAAAAGCATTATTGTTAAATTTAATGACAGTTATGGTATATTCTGTTCATTCCAGAAACTCTGGTTAGATAAACTGACAGTCTCAAACAACAAACACAAACATGTGCTAGTCATGCAATGTCAGGTAAGTAGTGACGGCACACCACAAACACCAAATTAGACTAATTTAAATGCCATCAACAACACAAAAACTTAACAAATATGACTAACAGAGTGATCTGAGAACAATAATGGGCTGATAATGATTATCTATAGAAAACTGACTCTCCCATGATAGTTCTGTCTGGAACTTCACGACTTCCTATCCCGCTGCTCATTGATAAAGGATTCCACTAAAATGCTTGATTGTTTTCTGGGTTTTTTTCTCCATCAGTTAGTTTCTTGGTTATAGTTTGTGTTCAGTGAATTCCTTTCCCTGCGTCGATTCCAGGGACCTGTTTCCTGGTTTCCTGAGGGAGGGAGGGATGGGAGTGAGGGGGGATTAGGATCCACAGCCATCTAACAAGCATGACCTAAATGATGAATAATAATTAGCGGTTTCCTTCCAAATTGGAGTGCATCTGCCTGAGAGGTAAGGAACCAACAGTATGCATACAAATAAAGGATAATCAGATGGAAAACCTGGCTTAGGGTATTAATTCATGCAGTTTTCCTAAGTTAAGAAGGATGGATATGGAATGGAAAGAGGGACATCTAAATGGCAACAGTAACCATGTGGAAGTTTTCTATTGTATCCACCACATGCAAGATGCCATCAGATGGAAAACCAGGCTTCGGTACTAATTCATGCAGTTTTCCTAAGTGAAGAAGGATAGACTCTGAACGGAAAGAGGGACATCTAAATGGCAACAGTAACCATGTGTAAGTTTTCTAGTGTATCCACCACATGCAAGATGGATTCAACAGTAAGCCCATCAGCACTTGTGAGATTAAACAGTTTAAACTAATAACAGTTAAACAAACATAACTTTACAAACAAAAAGTAAATATACATTCCAGACAATCTAGCTAGAGGGAACTAAAAAAAAAAAAATCCAACATACTGAAACTATACTGTACACATATAAATATATAAATCATCTAAGCAAAGTAAATGAGGCAAACAATTCTACAGGTTATTATGATATATATAAAATACTATGAAGAAGTTCATCTGATTTCATGTTTAGGCAAAAAGCATTGAACCTTTCTTAATTCTAGGCCAACACATAAGAATTCTATCATGTTTAGCCTACAACAATTGCCTTCTTGCTCATCCGTCTAAATACATTTCAAAAATCACAAGATAGCATGCTATTCTGTGCAGCCATTTTTGAGCATGCAATTCAGCATTTAAAAACCTTTTTTTTTTCTTTTTTTTTAAAGATTATGCTTTTTACTGTTAGACAGTTCAACATATAAATTTACAAATACAAAGTTATGTCGTCACAAGACTGATTCTGGAGATAACTACCAGAAGAAGAAAAAATGGAAAAAAAAATTAGGATTTCAAATAAGAAAATTTTTATAAAAAGTTATGTAGTAATGCGGTATGTACTATTATGTTGCATTTGCCTAAGCAAAGGAGTGTGAAAACTATGGTCTCTGCTTTGTGCTGGTCAACGAGCTCCCCTTCTTTACTACCTAAACTCCCTTATCCTGTAATCAAACCAGGCACTTATAGCTGATTCATCTGGGGGGAAAGGGAGGGGGGGTTGACCTTCTTTTGTCAATGGTTTAGATATTTTGACAACCTAGGTGGGTGATCTCCCAACACACATGTTCATAAAACACAGGGGAAGCCATAACAGCACAAAACTGCAAGCCAATATATATCTTTGATGTTCTGACTAGTAGTAATTTTACGTGGTGGGGCACCAACCTCTTTCCAAGTTGCAACTCATACCACTGTCTAAAAGTTGTAAAAGAACAGTCATTTTAAACCAGGGAGTCAACTAAGTTTACTGAGAGGCCAAAATGTTGAAAATGGGGATCGCCATAGGTCACTACAATAAACCAAGGACCCGTAGCCAGGATTTTGATACTAGAAAATGGTACCCCATCTCTTAAGAGTTTTTTTAAAAACACACAAAAAAAGTTACCTGAAGGATATTTATCATGCATTGCACCTCTTTTAGTGTAGTCCTATATCTGTATCGACCAACTGGCACTCCGCGGGTGGTGCGACTAACATTATGCTGGCCGCCTTTACCTCCCAGGATACTACCTGGTACCCATTTAGGATGAGTTTACCTCAGAGACAGGATCAATATTTTCATTTGGGGGGGGGGGGGGGGGGGGGGGGGGATAAACCTCAACACAGATTTGAGCCTGACTATCGAACCGGAAAGTCATTTTCTTATTACCCCAAAACAGATACCAAATAAAATTACTGTTGTAAAATATTAATTAAAAAAAAACACGTGGGAATGCACACAAGGAATTACAAAACAGGCAACTGTTACAAACTCTTGGAACACAATATACACAACAGTAAATTCAACAGACATCAAAAACATGAATCCAGTACAAGAATTTTTCAGGACGTTTCAAATGCAACTAAAGCTCCATAGGCCATAGAAGGATCCCAACTAGCATTTTCTCAAATATTTCTATGTAGAACTGAAATTTTTTTTTCATTATTTATTATTTCCTTAGTTTTAAGTGTAGAAGACATAAATTATTATTAAAAGTAGAGTACTTTGTCGTACCTTCAGTGCATTGGGAATATAGTGCTAAATCTATATTTATAAACCAATCAGCACTCGATCAGTAATGTTGTGAAATCATGCCGGCCACTTTAACTTCCCAGAACATTACACAGTAGCCCTTTTAAGCTAGGCCAACATGGGAACTAAGTAATGTATTGAAAAAACAAATCTGCCTAAATTTTGGTTTGAACATGGACCTTCAGTCTGGCAGGTGAACATCTAGCCCATCCCCCCCCCCTCACCACCCCCCTTTTACAGCTACATTTTTGTTACGTCATATATTAAATTTATGTTTCAAAATTAAATACATTTAAATTCATTGTAAAACTACTAGCACAAACTGAATTACAATTCAAACTGTACCAGCAACAATAGCTTGTACGAAACCTGTACCATCACCATTTACACATATTAGAACTGTACAGAAAAACTGTATTAAAACCAATTAAACAAACTAATACTGTATCAACATCAATTATGCATATTAAAACTGTACCCGCCTTAATTACACACTAAAACTGTACCAGCATTAATTACACATGCTAAAACTGTACCAGCATTAATTACACACACTAAAACTGTACCAGCATTAATTACACATACTAAAACTGTACCAGCATTAATTACACATACTGAAACTGTACCAGCATTAATTACACATACTAAAACTGTACCAGCATTAATTACACAAACTAAAACTGTACGAGCATTAATTACACACACTAAAACTGTACGAGCATTAATTACACATACTAAAACTGTACCAGCATTAATTACACATACTAAAACTGTACGAGCATTAATTACACACACTAAAACTGTACGAGCATTAATTACACATACTAAAACTGTACCAGCATTAATTACACATACTAAAACTGTACGAGCATTAATTACACACACTAAAACTGTACGAGCATTAATTACACATACTAAAACTGTACCAGCATTAATTACACATACTAAAACTGTACCAGCATTAATTACACATACTAAAACTACCAGCATTAATTACACACACTAAAACTGTACCAGCAATAATTACACATACTAAAACTGTACCAGCATTAATTACACACACTAAAACTGTACCAGCATTAATTACACATACTAAAACTACCAGCATTAATTACAAATACTAAAACTGTACCAGCACTAATTACACACACTAAAACTGTACCAGCATTAATTACACATACTAAAACTGTACCAGCATTAATTACACATACTAAAACTGTACCAGCATTAATTACACACTAAAACTGTACCAGCATTAATTACACATACTAAAACTGTACCAGCATTAATTACAAAAACTGTACCAGCATTAATTACACATACTAAAACTGTACCAGCATTAATTACACATACTAAAACTGTACCAGCATTAATTACATACTAAAACTGTACCAGCATTAATTACACATACTAAAACTGTACCAGCATTAATTACAAAAACTGTACCAGCATTAATTACACATACTAAAACTGTACCAGCATTAATTACACATACTAAAACTCTACCAGCATTAATTGCGCATATAAAAAAAAACTATTAAAGCCAATAAACTAAAAATGTACCAGCAATAAAATTGTAATAATTAGCACCAGTTACACACTTTAAAACTGTATTAGCAGCAGTTACATTATTTAAAACTGTACTAGCACCAATAACACACTTTAAAACTGTATTAGCACCAATAACACACTTTAAAACTGTATTAGCACCAATCACACACACTTTAAAACTGTATTAACACCAATAACACACTTTAAAATTGTATTAGCACCAATAACACAATTTAAAACTGTATTAGGACCAATCACACACACTTTAAAACTGTATTAGCACCAATCACACACACTTTAAAACTGTACTAGCACCAATAACACACTTTAAAATTGTATTAGCACCAATAACACACTTTAAAACTGTATTAGGACCAATAACACAATTTAAAACTGTATTAACACCAATTTTAAAAAAAGTAAAGAGTCCTTTTTCCATGGCTTTAGGCACATTGGGAATATAGGGCTAAACCAATATTTTTATAGACCAATCTGCACTTTGTGGGTGATGTGGTCGGCACCATGACATTAGCACCAATACACACATTCAAACTACTAGCAGCACCAATACACACATTCAAACTACTAGCAGCACAAATACACACATCAAACTACTAGCAGCACCAATACACACATTCAAACTACTAGCAGCACCAATACACACATTCAAACTACTAGCAGTACCAATACACACATTCAAACTACTAGCAGCACCAATACACACATTCAAACTACTAGCAGCACCAATACACACATCAAACTACTAGCAGCACCAATACACACATTCAAACTACTAGCAGCACCAATACACACATCAAACTACTAGCAGCACCAATACACACATCAAACTACTAGCAGCACCAATACACACATCAAACTACTAGCAGCACCAATACACACATTCAAACTACTAGCAGCACCAATACACACATTCAAACTACTAGCAGCACCAATACACACATCAAACTACTAGCAGCACCAATACACACATCAAACTACTAGCAGCACCAATACACACATTCAAACTACTAGCAGCACCAATACACACATCAAACTACTAGCAGCACCAATACACACATCAAATACACACATCAAACTACTAGCAGCACCAATACACACATCAAACTGTACTAGTACCAATTACCCTTACTAGTACTACATCATCAACTGCCAAAACTAATACTTAAATACTGTTGTGTATCCTTTACAGGATGCTGCAGAACAACAACAGCAATTTTCTGCTTGGTTTCACTGGGCAATTTTACGACCAGTAGTTATCCACTGCTGTCTGAGCAGTCGGCTCTCAATACCACCGTCAACATGAAAGCAAACTGGTCGCTGCCAAAACACCGACAGCTGGAATCGAACTGGGTACCTCGGAACTACGCAGCAAGTTTGCAATGCCTAAGTAGATGTGACTAATACTATACCAGTACTAGTTACATGTACTAAAGTGTGCTAAGCATTTATTATACAGCATAACATTGTACTAAAAATTATATATCAATAGCCATCCGCATTCTTTAAAGTGCGAGATGTGTGAGAAATAATAAATTTTTTTTTTATGTTTGGCTGTCTATTACGGTTATTTCTTCCATTGCCATTCTTTCTTAAACTACTTCAACCCATTAAAATTTAGTAAATCAAAGCAGCACGGTGCTAGAAATACGACACGAATTAACACAGTGACCCCACAAAAGCAGAAGTTTTTAGTGGCCGATGCAGCAATTTGAAATAGAAAACATAACTTTTTTTTAAATTAGTTGCTGTACCTTCACGGGAGTAGGAGGATGGCAAGTGATGGTGAGGTGTTATTTAAAACAAAAATAATACAACAAAATCAGAAATTAAAACAAAATCAACAAATGCAGCTACCACCAACAACAAAATAAAACCAAAACAATACAAAAAATAAACAAAACAACGGTGTTCTGAATCATAAATCTAGTATGCTCATTTTCTGAGGCAATTATTATCTTTTCCGTGCGGCCACTTACAAGGGCCCCTGGGCTGTTTGGCTCCTCGGAGAAGTGATGCCCCATGGAGCCAGCACGATGCCCACCCTGATTCTCCGACTCCTACAAAGTCAGCCAGAGACAAAAAAGATGAGCACAGAGCTTTAGAAAGGTAGCTTGATGTATATGAGACAGACAAACAGAATCACATTCACAATGTTGAATAAGGCAAATCTATTCACATGGCAGAAGCTGCTGTTGGCAGGTCAAGCAGGTATGCCTTTACACACACACATACAGTGGAGTGAGATGGTCAGTTCTCTTTCTCACTGCCTTTGCTTCCCACAGAATTCCCAGAAAATTACATTCTTTAGCACCTATATTTATGTTAACTGCACGTCGGTTATAGGATGAACTACAGCATCTTTTTTTCTGTCTGATTTTACTAAGCATTATAACATTCAATAGTTTACCACTGTTTCTGAACAGCTGACTTTCGGTATAACTGTCAAAACCAATGCACTGCCGTCTGCTGCCAACTCATCTGCAGCTGGCATGGTAATGCCAGTCAAAGACACATTTTGTTTTACTGCAGTTATATTTTTAATACTACATTTTTATGTAGTAAAACTATGACTTTAGGAAATGGGAAATTCTGCTTCCCTGTTCTCAAGGACTTTACCATCTTCTACCCTTCAAGTGTGTCCTAGGCACCTGAGCCTTCGAGCACTGAGCAATAAGACAATTGTGATACCTGTTATTTTTTTATTTTTTTAAATGGTGTTTTGGTCCTAACATTGTTTTGGTCCTCACAGCTGGACACCTATAAATGAAGCTCCTTTTACTCCATATCTTTTCTTTCTCAAAATAGTTCTACAATTGAGCTATAGAAACAAACTACTCGCCTGCTTAAAACTTACTTTCCTTATCAAGTTCCTGAATTCAGGCTCAAAATAAGCTTTAGATGGATATCAGAATATCAATCAAAACATATGCATTGTGTAGGTTCTGAGGCCCCACTGAGAGTTGGGGGGGGGGGTAATATCGGGGGTCTCCGCAGCAAAGTGGTTAAGCCATCTGCTGCATGCTCTGAGGGGTTCAATTTCATTCTGTCAGGCAGTCCATAAGCACAGATGTTTTTGAAATCCTTGGGGGGTGTCGCTGAAACTACGAAGGAGTTAGTGCTTTGTGCATGATCACTCAGCAGCTCTAAAGAGAGGCAGCCATATACTGCGAAATCAACTAAAAGTTTATAGATTACAAGTTGACGCTTTCCCTGATGTGTTTAACAAAGTTGACTGGGCAAATGCAAAGACTCTGGACCAATCTAAACCCAGTCATTGAATGAAATTATGCACAGTTCTCATTCTGTCCAAAACATTCAAAGCATAAAAGCAGAGATAACTCAATGGGTAATTGACAAAATTTCAAATGGGTGATTAAATTCCAGCATAACACAAGAGAATGGGAAAGATTAAACTAAATTCTGCACAAGTGAAGATAGTCCTAAGGGATAAAAGGAATGATCTCGCAAGAAATATAAATGAAAACCCGACTAGATAAATGGTAAAATCCAACACTTTAAAAGTGCCCCCCCCCCCCCCCCCCCCCCCCCCCCCCCCCCCCCCCCCCCCACCCCCCCCCCCCCCCCCCCCCCCCCCCCCACCCCCCAGTGCCCCCCCCTGCCCACCCCCCCCCCCCCCCCCTAAAAAAAAGCAAAACAGATAAAAATGGAGAAATAAGAGAAATATGCCACAGGATACATGTGACAAATCTCCCCTTAGGATAAATATGACCAAAATTCAAAGGAAAATATGGTGGGTTTTTTTTTTTTTAATCAAAGGACAAATATGTCAAAAACTCACAAAGGATAAATATGGCAAATAAAACATCCAGAGGTTAAGGATGACCTTAAAAAATATAATTATGACAAAAAAAAACCACACACACACATGAATCCCAAAAAAACTAGGGATAAATATGCCCCCCCCCCCCCTTCCCAAAAAGATAAAAAGACCAAGATCTTGCATACATGTAACAAGAGGGGGAGGGCGCATTTTTACAGGATGAATGTGACAATATGGCATGGTGATAAATGTGACAAAATTTCAAGGAATACGTTAAACAAACACTGACGACACACTGCTCTGCCCGGCACACTAGCTCCACAAACATAAAGTGGCATAGCCATAAGCCATGTGTATATACAACTACCTTTATTTAAATTGAAAAACTATTTTAAAAACATGAATCAGTATTTTAATTATATTATTCTGCGTTTGCCATAAAAACGCAGTTGTCACACTGGTTTATCGTTTAGAGCTAGACTGCGACATCTGCAACTTTTGGCCAAACACATCCAATTCTAGCAATTTCTTATGTTGTCTTTTACCGCAAGCTAACTGAGAGCCATTTCGGGGCCATTAAAAAAAGCACCAATCAACCTTTTAGAAAACTCTCAACAATTTAAGAAACACTTTTCAGATATATACATATATATAATCAACCTTTCAGAAAACTCTCAACAATTTAAGAAACACTTTTCAGATATATACATATATATAATCAACCTTTCAGAAAACTCTCAACAATTTAAGAAACACTTTTCAGATATATACATATATATAATCAACCTTTCAGAAAAGCAACGAGCAGCCTCCCAGCGATAAACTACATCTACCCCAAGCCCTGTCCACAATTAAGTGTAGCCCAGAGGATTGTCATCAGATGATGTAGTCAGAAACCCCCAGTTCTAGGACCATGAAAGAACAAAGGCTACAACAGCAATGCATAATCAACTAAATCCACTGTCTCGCAACAAATTACATTATTGTTCATCAACAAAAAAAAAGAACACAGGCTCTAAAGGAGTTAATACCACTAGAGAATTAGAACCCCAACGAGAAGATGAAATAAGAACTTGTATTATAATGTGTGAAATAATGCTCTATTATATTTATGAATACGCTTAAACTTGTTTTCCTATATTCACCCTAAATCCTGCAGTCCCAGGGGAGTTTTAGCAAAGGCTCAAGGGATAGGAAAGTGGGATGTAAAACTGGCACATCTTTGGGTCACTGGTTCTATGTTAAAACCTGTGAACGTGAATATATAATGTGTTCCTTGGGGTAAAAGTGCAGTTAGCATGTTTTGTTGTGGTTCACTGCAATATCTGCGCTCAGCCTAACATACCTATTTTCAGCAATTTAGAACAAGCCTGGTAGGTATTCTATAAGAGCATTCATGTCCTTTCTGCTTGTCTGCAACATCTGTGCCTTTTTGGCCTAACATGTGTTCATCAAAGTAATTAGTTACCTTTTACAACATGCTTGTTAGGATGGTAATTCATCACCAGCAGCATCATCATCATCATCCTTTGTGTGCAATTAAGACGTCATACAGGGCTCCCATTCAATTCCTCCACTCCGCTCTATTTTTGATTTACTTTCTTGATTTCTGACAGCATTTTTAGCCTCTCGTTATAATGTTCTAAAGGTTTTCCTTAGACTGCCTCCCTTTCTCCGACCGCTTGTTTCCCATTTCAGTGTCTGTTTTGTAATTATTTGCTCATTTTTGTCTAGCAGTGTGCCCAATCTCCACCTTCTTTATCTTACTGCACTCAATACCGATATTTATCCACACATTTCTCTATCTCACTCTATGAATTCATCCCATGTTCACAATTTTTTCAAGACATTTATTTTCAAATGCATTTAACGTTCATTCCATATTTTGAATGGCATTTGTTAGAATTGAAATAACGTTAGAAATAAAGATTCACAGTTTGGTCTCAAAGCTGTATAACTTGAAAATGCATATTTTGTTAAGGCTTTAAAGAACTTATTACTTTGCCAATGTATATCATAATTTCCTTTACTGTATCCCCTTAAATCCAATAGTCCTTGGTTGACAGAGGACTGGAATGGAACAAGACAAAAAGAAAACTGGAGATAGGCAAGTCTGTAGATTTCTCTGGCAAACCTCCTCAACCTAAGGTAGAAGAGGAGCAGCTAAGTTGAGTAAGAATCTCCTTAAGAGTCACCATGTCAACCTAAATAGGTCAAATGATCCGTTACTTTTATCGCTTTGTCCGCTAGCATGACACCTACATGATCTTATTAGTATCTTAACATTTTTGTTTTCTCATATTTTATTTGTAGTCCTATTATTGATGCTGTAGACAACAAATTACCTGTTTGTCTTTGCGCGTCTGTTATTTTAAACTTAACAGAATAGTATCATCTGTTAGCTCCAGATCTTCCAGTAGTCTAATCTCAACCCAATCAATGCCAGTATTGCCTCTGTCAACATTGTTTCATTACCTAATCAATGGTTACTTCAAACAACCAGGGATGGCAGTTGGTCTACTATTTGTTCCCCACCCAAAATGTGGCCCCAGAACCCACATGGGGAGCTTCAGCTGTGAAATCCAACCAGTCATGTCTAGAGACAGAGTGATTAGTATTTTAGATTAGTATTTTAGATCAACTGTGTCAATATCTATATTTTGGTACAACCAAGTTTTTCTCACATCTGTGATACTAGAGCACGTAAAGGGGATTTTTTTTTTAATGTTGCATCTACCCTACCATTCACATCATAAAAGACCAACAAGAATATATACCTTACCACACAGAGAACTTTAGCTAAGAATCCAGGTAATGTACTGAAATAAAGGGCATGCTGTGAAGGCTACTAATTAAGAGTTTGCTAAAAATCAGATGTGGTGGACCTATCACAGCCCAGGTATAAACAAAAACACAACATGCAGACTGCCCTTCTGAGGAGAAGCAGAAGAAAAAGACTCAGAATCAATAACAAGATGGAATGACTGAAAAACAGTTCAATCTTTCACAGGTTCAAACTTCACCAGTGACAGACAGCATTATTCTCCTCCTGACCAGTACAGCCCTAGGAAAAATGGGCAACCAAACTTCATAAAGTGGGGGTACCCAAACAACTCTCAGAATTTCTAGTAATTATTTCATTCACAAATATGGTGAAGGGGAAAGTGAATTGTTTCCCTGATATGCTGTGGCCTAGGATAATGAATGAGATTTCCTGATTTCACAAACCAATAGTGATAACGGTAACAATCATAAGACCATCCTTTTTAAATCTTGTCACTGGTAGTGTAGTGTGATCTTAAACCACAATAATTAACACAAAAAGATCCCTCACCAAGCACAGGACAACAAATTGTTTTAGCCCTCTCTACAAATAAGCTGGAGAAAAAAACGTTTAAAAAAACCTGCCAAATTAACAAATGAGAGGGGGGAAAATTAGATTTTGTTTTTAAAGCTACTAAATGTGACACAGTACAGTTTCTCATACAATATGAAGGGTTTAGCCATCTGACAAGAATATCCCAGTTTTAACTACCATAGAGAGCAGCAAGAAAAGTAATAAGCACAGAACAAGGTGGAGATTACACAAAATATGGAGACAATGACAACAAGACAAACTTTAGGGAAGTGCATTAAAAAGAGCCTAAAGAAGATCCTTTCGACACCACATACGAGCTGAGTTCAATTTAACAGGCTGAGTCCTAACCACCCTTGCAAGAGCTAACAGTGAAGAAGCAAGTAAGAGAGACTTATTTCTAGCATGCTGAGCTTTCCTGAGAAACACTCACAGTAATAATGTGGGTACCAAGAGCAGCAATAGTGCAGTGACTAGAGCTCACCTGCTGGTCAAAGGCCTAGAGTTCAAATCTGCGTGAGGTAGGACTTTCTTTATTCAAAATTAACCTTGACTCCCAGGTCAACCTAGCCTTAAATGGGTACTTGGTAATGTCCTGAATATTAATTAATGCCTGCTTGTGCGCCGCTGACCATCTCCAACTGAGTTCTAGTTGGCCTATAACAAATATGTCTAGCAATAGAACAACACCAGCTGCATCTTTGACGTGTGAAGAAATGCTTTTCTGTAGGTGTCTGCTCCTTCCCCCCCCCCCCCCCCCCCCCCCCCCCCCCCCCCCCCCCCCGCGCGCAATTAAAAAAGTTCAAAGATCAGGTATTTTGGGAACTCTATCCACAAATGCAATAATCTAGCCAACAGACACACCTGCACATTTCTACAGTCCAACTCAAAAGGTTCAATTCTAAAATAATGGGTGTTAGTATGACACCTAAGTAGGAGAAAAAAAAAGAGATATAAACAAAATAACCAAGCAATGATCACAAAATATTACCTTCGCTTTCTTCTTCCTTCCAGGTGTCTCTTCAGATGTGTTTTTGGAGCTGCTCTTTGTGTTCCCGATTGCAGGCATGCAGTTCATTTGCTGCTGCGGCGGCATCTGTCCCATGGACAGCATGCTGGGGTTGTTGCCTCCGCTGTTCATCCCAAGATGCCCTGGCATCATGGGCCCATTATGGCTCATCATGGGTCCCATCAGGGGGCCATTCTGGTTGACATTCATATTTGGTCCCCCCATGTTGGGAGGCATCATGCCTGGCATCGGTCCTCCCATACCAGGTCGCAAATGATTATGCCCTCCCAGCTGGCCAGGGTTTGTCATTCCCGCAGAAGGCATTCCATTGGGCATCATTCCAAGGGTGCCTGGGCCCATTCCATGGGTCATCATATGAGGAGGCCCACCATGGGGCCCCATGTGGTGGGTATGAGGGTGTGGATGGTTCGGAGGAATAGATGTAGAAATACTGGCTACTGGCGATGCTATACTTTGTGTTACAGAAGTTAATGAAGGTCCTGCAAAAGAAACATTATGCTTTTGAACTCAAGCTAAGCAATTCAATTCATCTTACATATGGTTACTTTATATATACAGAGTTTACCAAATAAAATGTATACACAATTTCTTCTGCTCATTATCTTCAAATGGAGTACAGGCAGAACTCACACCACCACTGCTATCATGAGTAGTTTAGCTTGTGTGTTCCTAATGTTTTATTTACCTCATTTTCTAATAATAACCTTCATGTGGGGGCAGGGGTATGTGCCTGCCATTATTCTTCTGACTCCAGTTTTCTGAGTGTGTATACATATTTGGGCAGACTCTGTATTTTAGTCATTAACTCTGTCTTATCAAGACAAAGCCAAAACACTGCGCAGGTGTTAATACAACTAATGGCATCAACCAGTTTAACTGGGGGTCACTAAAGAAATGTCAGGTTCCAGTATTTAAGGGATTTGCCAAACATGGAAATGCCCCGTCCAGTGCTTTTCAGGGTGAAAGGGTTCATTCCTCTCCCACTGTGATTCCGTGGGCAAGTATGTCTCTATACACTCATGTCTCCCTCAATGGGGATTTAAACTTACCACAATAGAGCTGGCAGTCAAGTGATGGTCACTGAATGCTCATGTACATACATGTTTTAGCCAAATTTCAGGGCTCTACAGGTGAAAGACTAAAGGAAACATCCAGCTTTTGAAGAGGGGTTGGGGGAAGCAAAGGGAAAGAATAGTTGAGGTTGAGAAAAGGTATGGTACAGAGGAATGAAAATAAAAATGGGTAAGGGAAAGGCTGAGGGAGTAAAGAGGAAAGACAAGATAGGGTGGAGATGATGGGGGAAAAGAGGAAGGGAGGTAAAGAAAGACAGCAAAAAGAGAGAGGAAGCACAAAAAAGTCTATACTTGAGATCTTTTTTTAAATGTTTAAAGAGGTAAGATAATTTTATAACATGCCAACCTTCCTATGTAAAGTAATTCCGAAAAGGATCTTTCACAAGACTTTATAATACCATGCACTCTTTTGTTTATATTTATATGAGCTTATCAGTTACAAAAAATATGTTTAACCTAACAGAATGCCTCATAAACAGAGATGAATGCTTATAAAAATTCTCCAACTCAGCTGTTAATGAAATGTTTATGATCTTGTCAAAGCCGTGTGTCCAACAGCCAAAAAGATTATTTCAGATGTTCTGAAAAATACCTTCTCACAAATATCAGAAGGAACAATCATAATTTTGGCTGTGTTATGACAAGAGGTAAATCTCAGACACAAATCAGGGACTTAACAGAAACAAATGGACTAAGGCAATTAAGATGGGCACACACACACACACACACACAAAGAAACATCAGACAAATAATGATTCGAGAGAGGCCAAAGGTGCTGGAACAGATTCCATACATGATACTGAAAGCACAGCACAGAGAACAGAATAAACAGCAAGCCAACTATGATAAAACACACAGCACAACAGTATTTTGACACCTCAAACAAGATATATCATTTAAAATGCTCTGTATAGGAAGCTGCTAATAAATGAGAAAATGTAATTACTGTATACTAATTTGGGTAGTAAAACAAACTGCAAGATTTGTCCAAGAGTGTGAACTCATTCCTTCCAAAATACACACAAAAATGAAAGATGGCTCAGAGTTTGGACCCAAAAACAAAAAGTTACAAAGCGATTCCTGAGAGTGGACGTACATACAATATCTCTTCTTCTTTGTTCACTGGCTGTAAGCTCCAGCGGAAAGTCCTGGATGTTCGTCCATTTGGACTTTGGCTTTGTGCCATGGTCTGAGTTTTGTGTGTACATACGCTTCAGTGGCTTATTTGTGTGCAGCTGGTTGTTCCTTGATGCTCAGGCAGATGCATAAGGATTTCAAAGAAAGCCCCCTTTTAACTGACTCCTACAACACACTTGTTGGGGTGGCAGTGGGTCTAATATTGTCTTTCCTACAACAGGGCCCCAGAACCCACATGGGGAACAGACAATTTTACCCACACAGTCAACATGCTAAAAGACGAGCCCCACAGACAATGTAATTCCTACTGTAATACAAAAAAACGACAAGAGATGTCTGAGAATTTAAGTCAACAAACAATGTATACCTGCATTTGCTGTGGTAACCACACTGCTGCTTGACAAAGGCATTATTGATATGGCTGCTGGAGGTAACGGGACACCACCATCGCTGCTATAAGGCATTTTGGGCTCGGGATCCATATGATAATGTTGTTGCATGTGCTGTTGGTGTAAGTGGTGATGATGCTGAAGGTGATGCGGAGGAGGATGACTAGTATGGTCTGGAGGGGTAATGTTTTCTAATGTGCGAGACGCATCTCCGTTGGCTGGATGGCATGTTAACAATGGTGAGGATACCGACTGAGTCGGGGTACTGACAGAATCTGATGTTTTATCACTTTGATCTGAGGAATGAAAACCACTGTCCACTGAGGTGGAGTCACTGGGCATGCCACCTGAGCTGTCAGAGCCCATGGTGGACTCATTAGGAAGGTCCGGATGACGAGCCGCAACTGACCCTGGGCGTGACATAGAGTCATGAGCTTCTGCATTAGTCAGGGGAGATGCTCGACTGTTGCCATGGTCTCCACTGTTGGCCACGCTGGTGGATGTGTTGGTCAGAGCTGCAGGAAAATGAGGCACTGGGGACGGGGTGGAGGTGGACAAATTTCCCATGATTGAGCCGCTCCGGGACAATTGTTCATTGTTTGAATTCATGGTCAAATTTGAATGACCCAAATTTGGTGAGTTCATCATATTGTTCATGTGAGCTAAGGGGCCCTCGCCTGACTGCATAAACATGCCTCTAGATGGACTCATAGAGCCTCGGTTGTGAGACATTCGAGGACCTACAGAACCAGCTGCAGTTAGCATCCCTGCCGGAGCTCCCTTTGAAGACATATGTTGCTGAGGCATCATCCCTCCTTGCTGACCACCCATAGGAGTCACTGGGCCGACTGCAGACCCTGGCGGCATGTGGCCGGATCCGACTGGTGCCTGCTGCATGCTATGATGTCCAGCCATTGGTCCCATGTGTGAAGAATTGTATCCAGGATAGTGACTGTTCATCATTCCACCCATGCTCGTGTTGCTCTGAGGATAAGGCCCCTGCCCTGGGCTTGGATTGTAGGCCTGTTGACCCAAGTTTCTCACCATCCCAGGCATGGTGCCATACATAGGTGCCCCCGGCATCTGGCTAGGGTTGCTGGAGTACATGCCTGGTTGAGATCCTGGATAGCTCTGCATGGAACCTGGTTGAGGTGGTCCGCCTGTAGCCATGTTTGGCTGCCTGCTGTAATTACCTGAGAAAAATTACAAATTATTTGTCAAAGCTTTAAAAACATGCAATGAAATTATAAATGCATAAACAACTAGACATGCCTGAAATATATAACATATTGTCAGGGGCTTGCGGCCTGAGAAGTCAGTTATCAAAATATACCAGTCTTATTTCTTCTTCTGCATGTTACAACCACCCCCCCCCCTTTTTTCCAATCCACAAGCATAAGCTCACATCAACTTGCACCAAATCATCTTATCTTTTGCTATTGTATGAAGGTCAAGGACTCTGCAGATTAATCGCATAAGCCACACGGGAGACTTAATCGACATCTAACCTGAGACATGTTTCCTAGAACATACCTTGTGGAAACTGTGTGCCGTACTGAGGAACATGTCCAGGTATCTGACCTCCTCCCATCTTTCCTGAAGTAGGCATGTAGGCCATGCTGTTTGGTGGTGGCATTATGTGTTGACCGAATCCTGGACAAGAGTAGAATATCAACAGACATATAGTGCAAAAGACACAGAACAGGTACAACAGTGACAGTGTGTGCTTCCTCCCTTCTATTTCTCCCCTTAGCAAACAAAACCTATAGGTTTGTACACTCAAAACATATTTACAACTGTTTAAAACAAAATATTTTAAGGCCTGTACAAGATAAAAACTGCATGAGACAGAAACCCTCTACGTCAATCATGAAAAAAAAGCCTCTTGTCCATTATAATTCACTTTACAAGAATGTGCATGCTGCATAAAGTTGATGATTACCTCCCTTAAAGTGGGACCCAAGCAATTTCTTGTTTATCCCCCCTGCGTTAAACAAAAAAAATCATAGCTCACTTTAATAATAAATATGACAAATACAGTAGGCTAACAACCGGCCAATAGACTGGTTTACATGCAGCTAACACCAAAACATGGCAGTCATATTCAATTATCTTAATGTTCCTGCCTGCCAATATTTAACTCAGGCTTCTCAATTCCCCATCACTGCTTTCCTTTGTTCACTTGTTCCTTGCAAGTGAGCACAAAATGTGTGACACTCCACCTAAAAATTAAAAACCAACATCAATGCACTCTAGGCATTCCCATAAATGCTCCATCTCACTGTTTGTTTATTCTACTTTTTCTCTGAGCTGAGCGTCAGCTTGATCCTCAGATACTGCTGCCTATAGATTGTTGTAGTCTGAGGTCTATGAAGCCTAACCCTTCAAATCCCAAATGGCACTATCTGCTAAATAAGACAGATGTAGGGGATGTGTGTATTTTTTTTGGGGGGAAGGGGGGGGGGGGGGGGGGGGGGGTGGGGGGGGGGGGGGGGGGGGGGGTGGGGGGGGGGGGGGGGGGGGGGGGGGGGGGTGGGGGGAGGGGGGGGGGGGGGGGGGGGGGGGGGGGGGGGGGGGGGGGGGGGGGGGGGGGGGGGGGGGGGGGGGGGGGGGGGGGGGGGGGGGGGGGGGGGGGGGGGGGGGGGGGGGGGGGGGGGGGGGGGGGGGGGGGGGGGGGGGGGGGGGGGGGGGGGGAAATTAGAGGGGGGGGGGGGGGGGGGGGTGAAACCATCTGTATAAGAAATTAGACTTCCACCATAAATTTAGATCTTTACCAGCCAAAGTTCTGCCTGTTTCCCCCTTGCATCATCTTTCTCCACTTGCCCTTTGCTTAATCTCTCTTTCTCTCTCTGTACCATCTCTCTGCTTGACCTTTGCCCCATCTCTCCTTCTCACTCAGCCCCATCTCTATCCATTATAGCATCTCTTTACTTGCCCTTTGCCCCATCACTCCCTCATGCCCCATTCCCCCCCCCCCTCAAGTAAGCATCCACATAAAACAACACATAAAACTGATCTAAGAGCATTCCTTATCTGCCTACCTTGAGTAGCCATAGGAGACTGCGTAAACCTACTCTGTCCATCAACTTGACCAGGAGGTCGAATAGGCATTGGACTGCCAGCACGGGCACCTGCAATAAGACCAGCATGCTTCAGCAACAGCCTTCTGTTTTACTTGTCAGTGAGATATCAACTCTTTAAACCTTGCAGTGCCAGAGAACCACAACACATTCACTGGCGACTGAGAGCGTTGCCAAATTTTCATGTTAGTATTACTTTGTATTTGCGACAAGGTAATTTAATATAAATTCAGTCTGCTAACAAACCAGAGGTTACATTAACACATTACGATCCACCACTATAATAAATTTTGGTCAAATAATAATTCAATGTGAAATAGGGTGACTGTTTAACAATTGCAGCTAGAAGCTGATATAAAAACAAAGTTACAATGTGACAGGCGGTACCAAAGTCTCTGTTTTAAACACTTCATGTTTGCACGACACCTTCACACTGCAGCCAACACAGTGTCATACCATTTAGGGAAACTCAGTTTTATGTGTATACTTTTGTTTACTTTTACACTGGTTTAATTGTTTTTGTAATATTAACCCATTCCATTATAACTGCTACAAAAGTTCCTGTCCCAGAGCTGTATTTTTCCAATTCTGAACAAATATGTTACTCTAAAAATAAACCAAAACTTTTCTGTCGGAGTTTACAGCCAGTCGATGCAAAGAAGTTGAAGCAGTACTCAATAAATTGTTGTTATACCAGGCAAATCAAACACTAAATGGCTGACTTGTGGAGATTGGCATGCATTGACATATACATGAAATGACAAGCTCTTGGCATGAACTAACTGCTAGCAGAATGGTGCATTTTCCAGGAGGGCAGGAAACAAGGAACATGAGGCACATGTGTTGTGACAGACTGACTAACTTCCCCTGTGGGGGTTCCGGGACCCTACTATGGGGAAAAACAAGAATAGACCCACTGCCTACCCAAAAGCATGTCGTAAGAGTAGACTAATTGGGAGCTTCCTTCGAAGTCGGAGTGCATCTGCCTGAGAGGCAAGGAACCAACAGTCTGCATACAGATCTGCCAAATGGATGCACACACAACACTCAGGTTCTGGAACAGGACTGCAGTCCAGAATTGGACAAACAACCATAACTTTCCGCCTGAGTTTACAGCCTGAACACTAAAAAGAAGACTGACCAACTAAAGAAATGAGGCAAAACATTTCAGACAAAAAAAAAAGAAATCAACCTGAGGAGCAGTACCAAACCTACTATGAACAATGATAAGGAAACAGATGGCAATATATTGGCCAGCCCATAAGGTGAAGTGGAAAAAGAAGTCAAAATAAATGTTGTTGAGAGGTCAGGGGCGTTGTTGAGAGGTCAGGGGCGCTGGATTGGATTCTATCCATGATATGGAAAATATTGCAAATAAGACTGCCAGCCTTGTGTGAAATATAATTATACAACACAATGTCGGTGATGGTGATGAATCTGATAAGCCTTCACACTCCCAAAGAAAAGAAAAAAGTGGGGGCAGGGGGGTACCACGAACCTGCACAAAAAGATATATACACTACAAGTAGGCATATTTTAAACCCGCACAAAGACAAATTTGCGATCCTTCACACTGGTGAGTAGAGCAATACATTTATTTCTATCTCTCTTCTCTCCTGCTGCCAACCTGCACTCAACCATCCTCCACCTACCCCGGACCAATCTCTTTTTTCCCCCCAACCCCAACCCAACCAGGGGAATTCCCTAACGGTGGTCCGGTTTATCGAACGAACGTGTGCCGACTTTTTAACCCCGGCCTCCAAACCACCTCCCTCCCGCACTTCTTTTGTTTTGACACCAAAGACGAGAGGCGCCCGCTTCAATTCTCAGGCTTTAGGAATCTACCAGGGGGTTCCGACAATGAATGGATTTATTGACAGCCGTTACTAAATAACAACAAAGGGGGATTTCCTCCAACCGATCAGCTGTTTGCTGGATGACGAAACCACGTAAAGCTGCGCATACCGCCCCAGCTCCTTTTTCCAGACCCGTTCTATTTTCCCACTAATCTTGAGCTGGTCGTGCGTGTATGTCTAGTTCCCTTCATTCAAATAGCTCCAGACAGCTTGTTTATAATAATGTCAAATTAACCTAGTGGAACAGCAATATAAGACTGCTACTGAGTACTTAATTAATGGTGACCAGTCACCAGACGCAATAGGAATAATATACCACCAATGTGTACTCAAGTCGAAGGTGATTGGTCAGCCAATTAGCAGGTGCAATGGTAAAATATACCAACATCATATTGAAAAACTGAAGATCACCAAACTCAATGGGAATAATATACCACCACTGTGAGCTCAAGACGAGGGTGACTGGTCAGCCAATTAGCAGGTGCAATGGTAAAATATACCAACATCATCATATTCAAGAACTGATGATCAGCAGGCAGAAGCTATTGTGTGTGTTTAAATACACCTGTGTGTGTGTGTGTGTGTGTGTGCACATGAGAGAGAGAGTGTTTAAAGAGAGAATCCTCATATTTTTCAATAACCTTTCAATAACCATCTCAGCAAACTGAACATTTGATTATTTATTTGTGCATTCATGCGTACACCAGCCTCTAAAAACGATACTAGGGGCTCTGCAGATGGGAAGAGGCAGACCAAGAAACAACTGGATAGAGAGTTTGGCAGAATGAAGAAGCCTCAAATATTAGTCTGCCTGTCTGGGGATTTATTTCACAAAGCTGATTATTTTTTTCCCCCAAAATATACCTTAGCTCTCAAGTTAACTCAGCTTAAAATGGGTATTAGGTAGAATGGCCTGGAGAATTAAAGATGGCTTGTGCACTGCTGGCCCCATCACAGGGTGCCCAGCGTGTTGCTGACCAATCATTCACCAAGTGACAATTACTCCATAAAATAGGAATCAGCATCATATGCCCAATCTCTCCCTGGTATAAAGGGATCCTTTACTTACTTTAAAAGGGCAAGAAAAACATGCAGTTTGGTGAAATGGCAGAATAGCTGTTTTAATGGCAGAATTAAAGAATGACTAAAACTAAACAACTGCTTAACAAACAACAAATTTAGTGAAAGAACTAAAGTCAGGCAAATGAAAAAGGAGCAAACAGAATGATCTTACACCGGAACCCACAAGGCAAAACAAAAAAAAAGATGTCGGTCTAAACACACAGAGAAGAAAATTCAACTAACAATGAATATGGCGACATCAGGAAATCAGTTATCCAGATATGAGTTGATTGAGCAGTGCTGCAGGAGATATAAAGACAGCTGGATATGATCTGACTGAAGAAAAGAACCCTGCAGCAGGGTATAGGACAGCTAGATTTCAGTTGACTGAGGAATCATGCAGAAGAGGATATAGCTGGATAGCAGTTGACTGAGGAATCATGCAGGAGAAGAGGATATAGCTGAATAGCAGTTGACTGGGGAATCATGCAGGAGAAGAGGATATAGCTGGATAGGAGTTGACTGAGGAATCCATGCAGGAGAAGAGGATATAGCTGGATAGCAGTTGACTGAGGACCTATGCTTCTATAGAGATAAACCACCCCCCCCCCCCTTCAAATTTTTTTGCAGAAGAAAACTTCTATTCCAGACAAACCTGCAGAACCAAGTGGGAAGCAAGTTACCTCAAGCATCAAGATCTGAAAACATAAACTGCACCTACGGCCACAATAAACATAGATCACTTAAACAAAATGCAAACAAAAACAGAGCTGTAACAGCAACATTGCTTACCTGATATGGAAGCCGGGGTGTTTGATCTGGAACCAGTAGAACCAACAGGGGACGGACTTGGCTGGGGCACGCCAATGGAGCTTCTGGAATTTTCCCCACTAGGGTCTTCTGGGTTGCTCTCCTGAGACAGGTAAAGACACATAATGAGGAAAATTACACAACCAAACTTGCTGAAACTGATAACCTAACCGACACCAGCAGTAACTTACTTTAAGGGTGGGTCAGGCAGTTAGGATCCAGCTGGGTCTATCTGATGTTTGGTCTTCTGCCTTTTAGGCCCCATTGGAGCAGACGCTTTCAATTCACTTGCGCCAAGTCGCTACTGACCGTCCCTCGCCCAACCTCCTCCCTACCTTGTTTGCCTCATTCTTTAATTCTCCCCTTTTCTGTCCAGGTGCAAGTACATTCTATAAGGGGGGGGGGGGGGGGGGGGGGGGGAAACTGTTCCTCGTCTCTTCATTCGTTGGAATTTGTTTTCTTTTCTCTGTAAAATCCCAATGTTATTCTTCTTCTTCTTCTTCACGTTCACCAGCTGTACACTCTGGCGGAAAGTTCTGGTTGCTCTTCCACTACTGAACTGCGGTCCTGCTCCAGAACCTGAGTGTTGCGTGTGCATCAGTTTTACAGATCTCATTCTCTTTAATACTGACTGTTGGTTCCTTGCCTCTCCGGCAGATGAACTCCGACTGCAAAGGTAGGTCCCCAATTAGTCCTCTTACGACATGCTTTTGGGGAGGTAGTGGGTCTATTCTTGTTTTCCCCACAATGGGGCCCCGGAACCCACACGGGGTCTAATGTTATTGACTCGGACATACCATTTAATTATCTTTATGCTTGTTTTAATAGAAAGCACATATTCATTTGATCGGCTCATTAACTTAACCATTTTCTCACTCCAACTAAAAAATCCTGGACACTACAGCTAGTGAACTCTAAGTAAAAATGGGTATAGCATCACACCTCGGACTCGGACCCAGAAATCCAGATTCAAAGTTGGAGACACAATCTTCAGGTAGAGGACTATCTGTGCTATCACCTCCTGTATAGGACTGGCACTTTATCGCTTCAATACAACAGACTAGGAGCTCATCGTTTCAAATACAAGGCTAACGACAAATCATAGAGCTAGCAGACGATTCGTTTCACACACAGCTTCAACCTTGTCGTCGTGTACATAAAGCTGGCAACTCTTCATTCGATACACAGCTAGTTAACTCTAAATGGTGTGCTCGTATCTCGTTGCTTCACACACCATCCCAACAACTCGTTGCTTCACACATCAACCCAACAACTTGTTGCTTCATGCACCAACCCAACAACTCGTCGCTTCACACACCAATCCAGCAACCCACCGCTTCACTCTAGTTCAACGACTCACCCCTTCGATTCATACACAAATCAAGCAGATCCGACTGCTAGCTTCCCTAAGCTAGGGGCCTCAACGCTTCCTAAATTCTGACAGTGTTAGATCACTGGCATGTTTCAAACAATGTCAGTCGGTTTAATAACCGTTAATACGACAACCGTTAAACATGCGCCACGGGCCGTCATCATAATTTGTCAAAACAACTTACACACTCGCCCTAGTACAACTTACGACGTATTGCTGCAAGAAATAAAGGCAAGGGGAAATACCAGTGACTGCTACACGACAGCTTTTGGGAAAAGTTGTCTTTGTTATGTTTCGGGGTAAATCTATACTATAATTTATAAAATCTTTCTGTTTCTTTTTTCCTATTACTTTTTAAAAGGTGGATTTTTTTTTTAATTTTATTCCGCTGTTTTTTTCCTTGAAACCAGATGTGTGTCGGAGACAATATGTTTGTCTTCCCAAACTGTTAAATACTCGTAGTAGTTTACTGTTAATTGATCAACATCATGGCACGTGGGTGCTCTGATCTACTTTCACCTCAAGCCTGCCTGGGTCTGAAGAATCTCAGCGCAGTGAACGAACTCTGTTGCACTGTTGTTAGTATTAAAGGGTATGCCTTGGATTCACTTAGGGGTAATCACTGAAGATACGGCAGGGGTGGAGATCAAGACGAAGCAGAAGACGAGATATTAAATATAGGTGGGGGGTTTTTTCAGACCCCTATTTCAACTAGGCCAACATAAGGGGGGGGGGGGGGGGGGTAAATAACTAAGATTAGATAGAAGCAGGGCAATTAAAGTAAGTCTAAAAAATAGGTTTCTTGTGTAAATTGTATTTAGGTTAAATTTCCGGTAAGGTCGTGGGTTTGCTTCCTGGCGGAGCCGGACTTTTTTCAAAAATGACCTTGGCTCCCAGGTCGACCCAGCTTTGGGTGGGTACCAGGTGCAGTCCCAGAAAGTCAAGGTGGCCAGCGTGATCCTGACCATATCATCCATCTTGTGCCAATTGGTCTATAAAAATATGTCTATCACTACATGCCTAAAGGCGTGGAAAAGGTACCTTTACTTTCTGACTTTACTTTACTTACTGGGTAAAGTGTCTACAGGTTACATTTCAGGATCAATAAAATGTCTTCGCGTTAGGACTTCAGGGTAAATAAATTGCACCTACGCCAGATTTACAATTCCAAAAAAAAATTTTCTATGTTAGTTTTCTGGGTAAATTATCTTTACATTAGCTTTCTGGGTAAACTGTCTCTATTTTAGCTTTCTTGGTAAAAATGTCTCTTGGTTAGTCTGGGAAAGATGTATCTAAGTTAGCTTTCAATTTAAACTGTCTAGGCTGCAATGAGACAAGTTAAAAATAAATACCACAATACAACTACATTTTTAAAAGCACATACTGAATGAGTTATGATAAAAATAAACAGCGAAACACAGACAACAGTTTCACTGGTAGTTTGGCTACTTCTGGACTTTGGTCTTGTTCCAAAACTTGAGTTTGTGTGCACATTTATTTTACAGATCTGGCTTGTTTGTATGCATGCACAGGGTGTTGTTGCCTCGTCTTTAAGGTAGATGCACTCCGACTTCGGAAACATCTCTAGTTAATCATCTTTTACCACATGCCTTTTAGGGGCTTTAGTCTATTTCCTATCGTTGACAGTGATTTAACTCTTTCGGCGCCAAAAAGTTATTACTTAAAGATAACCACTTAGGTCAAGAGTTCCACAGAGGCTCTGAACAGACATAATTAAGACTAATAAATCAGATTTAAGGAGTTTATGTGAAATTGATCTGTGGTAACAGATGAAAAGTTTGCAGTGCGTTTCTGTTCAACACAAAAAAAAACGATATAATTATAATAATTCCATAATTTCCTCACTGCTAACCCTTAATTTTCCTCCGCGTTCGCTCTTAGGAGGATACGTCGATGGATATGGATATAGGGTGTCTGTCTCTGCGATTATGTTATGGTTTACAGCAAGGTTATGATATATCTGCCTTTCAGCAAACCTTTAATTAAATGCTTGACAGGGAAGAGTAGCTTTATTGCTCCCCCCCCCCCCAACTTTTTTTCCTTAAACCCCACAGTCAAATAGGGCGCTGGAACTCACAAGAGAAAAACTACGACAGAAAACACATGATATATTATGTACCACTGTCCGAAAACTAGAAGGCCTTTTTTTTTTTTTACTACCCACTGCAGAAATCGTATCAATTATGAAATTGTAACACTATTGCCAACTTCTAAGCCACACATCCCCAAAAATGGGGAGGGGGGAGGGGGCGCATAAAACCAGATGGAAAGAATCTCATGTTGTCTTATCCACCGTCTTCTATTTAGTCCTCACCCCCATAACAACTGATTTCCGTGTAAGTCTTTTACAGTGGTGAACTAATCACACGAAGGTTAGTTGTGGATCCTTTACAGGACGTTGCAGAACCAACCCTAACAGCCCCTGGCTGTTACGTGGTTTTTCTAGGCAAATTTACATCCAGTAGTTTGCCATTGCTTTCTCAGCGGTCGGCTTTCTTGATACCACTGTCGAAACCAACGCAAGGCGCATGGCCCGCAGCTGGGATCGAAACTAATCACACCAGTGTAGTTAAAACGTGTGACATACCATAAAAGCATCACTAACTTTGAGAAAACATTTCAAATAATAGGACAATGTCAACGTGTAATTACAGTGGAAGGGGGGGGGGGTTATAACATCTTTTTTTTTCATCCACTTCTACTAACACCAATATCAACCTCCCACCATCTGTCCAGGTTTCCTGAGTTACTGGCCCAACACATGTCCAGGGGGGGAGTGGGTAGTGGAGGTCGAGTGTGTTAACGTCGTTTGTTATGGGAAATATATGTGACAGGGGATAGGTCTCTCTCTCTCTCTCTCTCTCTCTCTCTCTCTCTCTCTCTCTCTCCCGTCTGCCCTTAATTAACTTTATCCCGCAATAGAACAGAGTACCTCAGTCTCCTCACATACAGGGTTGGCTTGAATATAATTTTTTTTTCCACAGAATGGCGGGAGAGTGGCGATAAAAACCTAGCCCTCCATATCTTTAGTCGCCTTTTACGACATGCATGCATCATAAGATAAGATGCTACTAGTCTACTTTTACTTAGGTCTTGCTCTTTCCGCCACTCTCTCTACAAATGCGTCTTCCCAGCCTTTATCCCAGCGACAATAACACACGAGGACGATAACCATTCCCCACCTCACGATTTTATGGATTTATCAAAGAAATACACTACCCGAGTTCATCGTCTGCGTCACTTGGCAGAACAAAGCCATCGAGCAACACCGTAAGGACAAGCACAAAACAACCGAAGTCCAAACACGCACTTAGTTACAGCACAAACTGCTAGCCAACTTTTCCGTAACAATTTATAGTAATTATAAAACTTTCAATACTGTAACAAGCTCTGTACGAAGAGACTCATTATGCGTTTGTTGATTTCTACTTACAATATTTTATGTCCTATCCAGCTGGCAGATTACTTAATCAACTCTGCTCTAACTAGTACTTCCATTCTTTATATCTCACTCTTTTGTCATTATCATAATGTAAACTCATTCCACTTCAAAAACATGGGATAGATCGAATTACAGTAACATGTCTGGGGGCCGAAAGCATTAACTACTTAAAGATACAAAAACTTGCCATAATAGCCGAGTGATCAATTGAATTTCGTAAACAACATGCACCTTCCACAGTAGTTTTACCTTAAAAACGTACCTTCCA